ATAGTAATATAACAATAACAATCATAGCAATATTAATAAAGGAAAGCTTTGTCGATGCATTTCAGTCATTTTGCCTTCCATTTATCCAATTTTATGTCAAAGCTTTGGAACAAAACCAATTGCTATAATATAGTATATGGGTTTCTTTAAATGCTGGTCTCCTGACATTTTCAACAGACAGCTGTTGATGCTCTAGGTCGTTAATTTTAAATGAAAGTCCAAGGGCAATTTCTTTAGCAACCCGTCTCCTGTAATAGGCTGTGCTGTGCTGTGGTTGATGCTCTCTACTTGGTGGTAATGGACAAAACAGTACTACTGCAAGTGGTAGCGTCTGATACTGACAGTTTCTTTCCCAAAGTTGATTTAACTGCAGTATTCAAAGGTGTCACAAACTTGAATTGTGTTGCTCCTTCTGCAACGTTGATCGCTGTTGGTTTTTGAAGCGGTATGTAGTTTTGGGGTAGGACCACAAATGCCATACACATTTGGTGTAATTGTGGAGCATCCGTAAAGACAATACAAAATAATGTAAAAACAAGTTAAACTATAGTCAATTCCGATAGTACTGTAATGCTGTTTCATGTGTTAAGCTTCCACTGAATAAGTTTAGTTCTGATTTCCATCAACTGGAGCCCGGTATTTAACAGCACAACAACAGCACTGTTTGGTGGATGTTTTTGTACGCTTTGAATATCATAGACCATCTCTGAGGCTTTTTATTTTGACATGAAATATGGGAGGAAAATGCTCCACATAGTATCAAAATCAGGCATTCCATGTAGCGATTACAATCAGGCCACTGGTCCGGTTCAGTGTTATGCCCCAAAAAACATCTGCCAAATGAAGAAAATTGTACATTATTTACAAACAAATATTTAAATATTGTGTTATACTCTTCAAAAGAAAAATGACTTATATCACCTTCTTGTACTTTCAATCCCAGCTACTACAGTCGACTTTCTACTAGTTTTGAAGCGACCTTTGACAAGCCGATCCTTAAACATTTGACTGCGCCTCATGGCCTTGTCATAGGGTTCCAAACCCTGCCAGAGGTCAGTTATGTGTTTTGCATCTCTTTGATTTATTATCCCATGATCTTCCCGGAATCTAAAGAGAAACTCTGCTAAAGCTTCCACTATTTCGTATCCTGGAATGTTATCCGGGCCAACCGATGTTTCCTGCTGTTCCTAAATTTATGAAGAAAAACATGTTAGTGATATGAATACATATATATATATATACCAACAGTATTAACAAAAGAAAAAATTCAAAATTACTGCAATGACTGGAAAGGTTTCCTCTTCCAATGCCAAGTTTACAGGGCGAGGTGGGCTTGATAACCTTTTAGCTGCAGCTGCTGCTGTTGATCTTTCTGCACATGACAGCATTGGTGTTTTCTGAGGTATTGGTGGTTGAGTGAGATCATCCATTTCAATGTAACCTTCATCATTTAGAAAACCAGCAACCTCGTCCTCATCCTCCATGCCCTTATCAACGGTACTTTCAAGGACCTGATTAGTTTGATTGAAAAGATACTCTACTCCAATCAGCTCTCCGGTGTACTTGTTTGGTGCTGTAAAATAGGGTACACTTTCTTCATGAGAACCTACTCTGAGAGCAGGTTCAAAGCATGCCCCTGCAATCCGCTGTACAAGTTTATATCTGAGACACCAGATTTACCAGCAGCATCGGAACCAACCTTGTTCCAGCGAACCAGTCCTTCCAGTAGATAAGCCTGAAAATGAAGGTTGCTTGCACGAGTACCTGTTAATAAAAAACTATTTAGCAGTTACAATAAAAATTTGATTTACATAAAAAATTATAATAATGTATAATTAATATCTTTTGCAACCTACCTGGTATAAATCTATTTAGATGGAGGTGAAATGATTCAAGAGAGGTGGAACCTCTTGCACACCTATACACAGGTAAGGTGACACCACTCTTGGTCATTTCACCAATCTTTGTGTAAAGCTTGACTCCCTCTGGGTCTTGGATGCAATTAATGTGGCACTTTTGGGTTTCCCAGACCTCCCATACCCGGGTAGTATCCAAAAGTGGCACACCCATTGAATCCCGACCTTCTTCACCATCAAAGGTTGTTAGGAGGGCATGGATCAAAACGGTTGTTTCTTCAATGCTCCGTGTTGCACGGCGACAATGAAGTGCCATCTCCTTCCTGCTAATGTTGTACAGGACATCTTCATCTGTGGGATGGAGGATGTTTCTGGCTTGAAGCTGTCCATGTTTTGCCAACTTCAATTGGTCAACATCCTCAGCGCTCCAAACAAAGATACAGCTAGACAGGCGGCAAAGAAAGGTTGGGTACAACTGATGTGCTTCAGTGGTACATATCAAAGCAAATCTCCTCATAAAATGCCAGATATCAAGGCGAACCTTCATATCTGGCCATTTGGAATACATGCTATCAATGGAACGGCCTCCACAGCAGTCGTGGCCGACGTACAGAAGCTCTGGTGGCCTTACACTGGATGAAGCATCAGTTCACAATTCCATCGATCATTTTTGTTAGTCCGCACCTTTCAGCTGCTGTAAGGACTGTCATGAGGACTTGGCCATACTCATTGCTAACATTCGTGGCCCATGCAGCTGTGCCAGCCGAGTGGCCAGCCAGCTTTCTGACAATCTACAGGTAAAAAAACAAAAATTAAATCTACTCTATATATACATACATACATACCTGTCTCTTATACACATCTAGATGTGTATAAGAGACAGATGTAACCTTCATCATTTAGAAAACCAGCAACCTCGTCCCTCATCACATCATGCCAATAGACTAACAAAAACCACTGAGCTGTCGGCACAGGTATAATCTCAGAGACAATGTCAAACCGTGATGCATCAATTGTTTGATTACATAAACACTGACAATCGGTGAGGTAGAGAGCGACTTGTTGGTTCCAGTGTCTCCGATGTTGTTCAGCTATCTTTTTTCGGACTTGGGAAGAACTATTACCAAGGCCACGAACATGCAATAGCTGATTTACCCTGATGTCGCAAGCACCACGATGCGTAAGTACAACTGGAAATTGAAGTCGATGGGCTACATCTAACTGCTTTCGCAAACACGTGGGGCATTCGGTAGCCAAAATGTAGTGGCTCTCTATATCAAGCACCATACGAACTTGCCTGTATAGGCCTGAAGATGTTAGGGCTCGTCTAACATCTGGGATTGAGGCACACCAAACGAAATTGCCAAGCCTTTCTTGGAAGCCACAATAGCAAACGATGGCAAAAATATACATCAGGATTTGGCACTGAAGTGGGCAGAACCTCAGACTGGGGTGGTTCAAACCAGAGCTGCTGAAGCTTATTAAGGATAAGTCCTGGTCGTCCCTTCTTCGACCTTCGGAAGAGCGCTTTCGAAATCCAAGTCCTGTCAGCTGCATGGAGGCTTTCTTTCCATCATTCTGGAAGAATATACTCTGAAACAAAATCACACCGGCGGTAAACGCAATAGTGATTATAGAAATTATAAAAGAAAAGTTACGGAAACATTTATTGTCTATTCAACAATAATAATATCAACAGCAAAAATAATAAATAAAATAAATAAATAAATAAAAAATAAAATAAAATACCTTGATCAGGGACTATTCTTCTTCTTGATGACATGGCGGTCTTTCTTGTAGCGGCCATGGTGGTGTGGGTTGTGGTTGGGGTGGTGGTGTGGGTTGTGGTTGGGGTGGTGGTCGGGGCGGCGGTTGATGACTTGGCTGGAGTTGTAGCAGGGGAGACTTTGGAGTATTCAAATATATAAATCATCTAAAGACAAAAGAATAATCGCAAACATTATATCTGCATGTTCTTATTACCTGTTTGAGTTACTTACTACGAGGTCGAGAACTTGTAGCTTAAGCAGCTGCAGCAGGATGGCGATGTTGTGGCAGCTGAATTTGCAATTCAATCGCCTCTCGACCCTCTTTGAATGACTCCATGTATTTTTTAAAGCTTTACCTGTTATGGTTAACAGCACTTGTGCTGGGTGGAACACGTGAACTTTAATTAACTACGTTGGCGGAATATCCTAGAGCGTTTTCAAGGAGCCACATAAAACTCTGTCCTCCAAACTCCCTGCCTTGAAACTTATAAAACCCTAGTATGTTGACTTCGTCTCAAGTGTTGCCCCCCCAGTTTGTGAACTTGTACCATGGCATCATGACGGACAATCTCTGGGCGCTCACACTCGAAGACGGTTTTAGGGGTTTTTTTAAAAATTCAACTGCAGACTGAGTGTCTGCAAGTTGCAGGACACCATTGTTGTACCTGAATTTGGGTCGAAACATATCTGAACAAAGAGAAACAAAAATCAACAGGCAGAGATTATGTAACAACACTCAAGAAAATAAATGAAATAAAAACTTGTTACCGAAAACATAGTGTGACCAAGTGTATACTGTACACTGTTCATCATAATGTTCACAGGTTTTTAAAATTAAAAACAGAATTAAATCTGCAAAAAAGAAAAGCAAACAATATTATACTGGAAGCGTCAATGGACTACGAGCCACAGGCGTAGATTACACCACAAACAAGTCTAAATTCTGGCCAAAATTATTAAGTCACAGCTACTGAGTTGTACACACTACAATACTATTACTAGTGTACTGAAAAAAGCACAGTAGGTCTAATGAGGGAGACAACACCAAATTGCTGTTCACGGCCTGCAGTTGGCTAGACTTGCCACAAGTCTCTAATTTATGGATTTTTCGTGGTACATTAGCACATTTTGGAAAGTGCCACCAGCGGCAGATTATGTTGAGAAACTTTTTTGATGAGAATTAGTCCCAGAATCCCAGAAAAGTATACTATGGAATGCCATGCAAATAAGTAATATGGAACGCCATTTGTGCCAAAATCGATTTATTCTTAAGCATTTCAACTGATAAGACAAAGATTAGGGACTGGAACCCAGTCTAATTATTATTATGTATATCAAAATTTTATTGTAACTGTTAATTTTTTTTTATTAACAGGTACTCGTGCAAGTGACCTAGCATATCTCATGGAAGGACTTGTGCGTTGGGACATAGATCGTGCCGATGCTGCTGCTGAGTCTGGTACGTCTCTGTCACCAATGTGTACAGCGGAATGCAGCAGCATGCACTAAACCTGCTCTCGGAGCAGGTTCTCAGAAAGAAGTTGTACCCTACTTTCAAAGCACCAAACAAGTACACTGGAGAACTGATTGGAGTGGAAAATCAGACCAATTATGCACTCGAAAATACCGTTGACGAGTACGAGGATGAGATTGCTGATACTCTTATTGATGAGGGATACATCGAAATAGATGATCCGACGCTACCACCAATAACTCAGAAGACGCATTCCTGGCATGTGCAGCATGATTCACAACAGTAGCAGCTACATGATTATGCAGCCCACATCGGCCTGAAAACATGGCACCTCCAGTCATTGAAGTTAATTTGGATTTTGTTTTGTTAAACACTATTGGTATTTATGTTTACTCTAACATTTTTATCTTCATAAATTTAGGAGCAGGAAGAATCGTCGGTTAGCCCGGATAATATTCCTGGATTCGAAAAAGTAGAAGCCCTTGCAGAGTTCCTCTTCAGATTTAGGGAGGATCATGGTGTGATCGACAAAAGAGAGATAAAAAACACATAACTGACCTTTGGCAGAATTTAGAACTATACGACAAGGCCATGAGGCGCAGTCAAATGTTTAAGGATCGGCTGGTCAAAGGTCGCTTCAAAACTAGCAGAAAGTCGACTGTAGTAGCTGGGATTGAAAGCACAAGAAGGTGATATAAGTCATTTTTCTTTTGAAGAGTATAACACAATATTTAAATTTTTGTTTGTAAATAATGTACAATTTTCTTCATTTGGCAGATGTTTTTTGGGGCATAACACTGAACCGGCCCAGTGGCCTGATTGTAATCGCTACATGGAACGCTTGGTTTTGAAACTATGTGGAGCATTTTCCTCCCATATTTCATGTCAAAGTAAAAAGGCTCAGAGATGGTCTATGATATTCAAAGCGTACAAAAACATCCGCCAAACAGTGCTGTTGTTGTGCTGTTAAATACCGGGCTCCAGTTGATGGAAATCAATAGAACTACACTTATTCAGTGGAAGTTTAACACATTAAACAGCATTACAGTACTATCGGAATTGCCTATAGTTTAACTTGTTTTTATGTTATTTTATATTGTCTTTACGGATGCTCCACAGGTACAACAAATGTTCCGAAAGAGAGGAGCGAAAAATACTGGAGTATGGCATTTCTGGTCCTACCCCAAAACTAGATACCTCGACTCCCCTTCATGCACCGCTTCAAAAACCAACAGCGATCAACGTTGCAGAAGGAGCAACACAATTCAAGTTTGTGACACCTTTGAATACTGCAGGTAAATCAACTTTGGGAAAGAAACTGTCAGTATCAGACGCTACCACTTGCAGTAGTACTGTTTTGTCCATTACCACCAAGTAGAGAGCAATTGCCTTTGGTCTTTCAGTTAAAATTAATGACCTAGAACATCAACAGCTGTCTGTTCAAAATGTCAGGAGACCAGCATTTAAAGAAACCCATATACTATAGCAACTGGTTTTGTTCCAAAGCTTTGACTTAAAATTGGATAAATGGAAGGCAAAGATGACAGAAATGCATCGACAAAGCTTTCCATTATTAATATTGCTATGATTGTTATCATTATTATTGTTATTATTATTATTATTATTATTATTTCAAAATAAAATAAAAGAGGGAAAACAGCAACTTTTACTTAAATGAGAATTGTTTATTAAAGAATATAAACGTAGTTAGTCAGTGTATGTTTTTTATTCTAAAAGAAAACGTATCCCACCTACATTCAGTGGTGGCTCCAGAAATTTTCCGACAAGGGGTCAGACATGTTAGACAAAGGGGTTCGTAGATTGTCAGAAAGCTGGCTGGCCACTCGGCTGGCACAGCTGCATGGGCCACAAATGTTAGCAATGAGTATGGCCAAGTCCTCATCACAGTCCTTACAGCAGCTGAAGGGTGCGGACTAACAAAAATGATCGATGGAATTGTGAACCGATATGCTTCATCCAGTGTAAGGCCACCAGAGCTTCTGTGACGTCGGCCGCGACTGCTGCGGAGGCCGTTCCATTGATAGCATGTTTTCCAAATGGCCAGATATGAAGGTTCGCCTTGATATCTGGCATTTCATGAGGAGATTTGCTTCGATATGTACCACTGAAGCACATCAGTTGTACCCAACCTTTCTTCGCCGCCTGTCTAGCTGTATCTTTGTTTGGAGCGCTAAGGATGTTGACCAATTGAAGTTGGCAAAACATGGACAGCTTCAAGCCAGAAACATCCTCCATCCCACAGATGAAGATGTCCTGTACAACATTAGCAGGAAGGAGATGGCACTTCATTGTCGCCGTTTTTTATTAACAAGTACTCGTGCAAGCGACCTTCATTTCCAGGCTTATCTAATGGAAGGACTGGTTCGCTGGAACAAGGATCGTTCCGATGCTGCTGCTAAATCTGGTGTCTCGGATATAAACCTGTACAGTGGATTGCAGCAGCATGCTTTGAACCTGCTCTCAGAGCAGGTTCTCGGGAAGAAAGTGTACCCTACTTTTACAGCACCAAACAAGTACACTGGAGAGCTGATTGGAGTAGAGTATCTTTTCAATCAAACTAATCAGGTCCTTGAAAGTACCGTTGATGAGGGCATGGAGGATGAGGTTGCTGGTTTTCTAAATGATGAAGGTTACATTGAAATGGATGATCTCACTCAACCACCAATACCTCAGAAAACACCAATGCTGTCATGTGCAGAAAGATCAACAGCAGCAGCAGCAGCTAAAAGGTTATCAAGCCCACCTCGCCCTGAAAACTTGGCATTGGAAGAGGAAACCTTTCCAGTCATTGCAGTAATTTTGAATTTTTTCTTTTGTTAATACTGTTGGTATATATATATATATATATATGTATTCATATCACTAACTTTTTTTTTCTTCATAAATTTAGGAACAGCAGGAAACATCGGTTGGCCCGGATAACATTCCAGGATACGAAAAAGTGGAAGCTTTAGCAGAGTTTCTCTTTAGATTCCGGGAAGATCATGGGATAATAAATCAAAGAGATGCAAAACACATAATTGACCTCTTGCAGGGTTTGGAACCCTATGACAAGGCTGTAAGGCGCAGTGAAAGGTTCAAGGACCGGCTGGTCCAAGGTCGCTTTAAAACAAACAAAAAGTCGACGGTAGTACCTGGGGTCGAAAGTTTTTTAAGAGTGTAAGACAGTATTTACATTTTTGCTTGTAAATAATACAATTTTTTTTTTTCATTTGACAGATGTTTTTTGGGGCCAGAACACCGGACCGGCCCAGTGGTCTGATTCTAATAGGTACGTGAAGGTAAAAGAACTCAGAGATGGTCCATGATAATGAAAGCCTACCAAAACATATGCCAGAAAGTTCTTTCCAACGCTGCTGTGTTAAGAAATACTGGACTCCAGTTAATGGAAATTAATAGAACAACACTTTTGCAGTGGTAAGTAAAACACGAGACTGCATTACTATCCACCAAAGATACTGGAATTGACAGGTTTAAATTGTTTTTATGTTCATATTTTATTATTTTTTCATTGTTACTTTACGGATGCTCCACAGGTACAACAAATGTTCTAAAAGGGACTCCCCTTCCCGCACCTCTTGAGAAACCAATAGCAATCAACGTTGCAGAAGCGGCAACAGAATTCAAATTTGTGATGCCTTCGAATACAGCTGGTAAGGCAACTTTTGGAAGGAAGCTGCCTGTGCCAGTAGCGTCTCAACCGTTGATGTCACGAAGCAGAGAGCATCTACCGCCATGCTAATCTTCTCTGTATCGTTCCAATTTTAGTATATGTACTGCCGAAGCAAGTACATTTATGGAGGAAAAACATATTTCTATATATCTCTGGCTCAATTTGACGTCACCAAAGAAAATGTCGATTTTAAAAATTATATAAATGTTACATTGCTTTCAAATATAATGGACAGGTTACAAATCCTCATTTTTAGCTTTAAAAGAATTACCTTGTGAATATTGGGTTAATAAGTTGTTAATCATTATGAAATAAATTTTATAACAGTAAATTCTTAAAATTTAAATTCTTATAATGGGGCAATTTAAATATGAGTAAAATTGGGTACCGTATGCTTTTCTATAGCAATGCAACCAAGCATGTACCGTAGTAATCAATAGGCTATCCAGTTGGTTTGAAAGCTCTATTGTAACTATTGAACCGACAGGCAGCATTTATTTTCCTCATTTACTCCAATTTTCTACTTAACTTATAACATTATACGTTTTTTATGCTGAACTGAAATTTTAGATAGTTGATAGGTGTGCCTTAGTAAGTGCAGTTAATATCACATTCGATGATGTATAAATATGTCCCCACACGTGGGGAGTATAGACAAAGCCTGACGACATTGTTTTAATAAGTTAATAATAACTTGAAAATGTGACAGTAACACTGTATGTATTAAATATGTTTCAAAGGTGTATTAATTCTTCTTTTTTTCCTTTTTAAACGAATATTTGTTGTATGTGGCACAAAAGGTTGTTTTTAATTTTATATAACCAAATTTGTGTCGAATAATTGTATTATTTTAATAGAAGAGACAAACTTGAGGTGGATGTACATGAGCGTAGGCTAAGGGTACAGACTCACTCACCTCCACCCACACCCCCACCCCACCACCCCCTACCGGCTTAAAATTACCAGTTCCATTCAGTGGATTAAAATACTATTATAACAAAAAATAGTTTCTCGTCCCCTCGCGCATCCATTATCTCTGAATTATATACCATTTTTGTTTTCATTTATTTTACGAAATGTAAAAAATCTGGCATCAGTAAAATTCCTCTCTCGATCGTTCGTAGTTGGGGATACATATGGTATGAGTAATGTCTTGTGCTTCTTTTATTTGCTTTCAATGTGTCTACTTGGTAAAAGTGAAGAAAGTAGTAGTTCTTTCCCATCAGCCATCTTGGACTTGCCATCTCGGAGTTTTAAAAAAGTGCCCCTATTCTCCTTCTTAAAAAAGTTTAGGACGAGAAACTACTTTTTTTTTTATTTGGGCTTACTAACTAATGGCTATTAAGGTATAGTAAGATAATATTTATTCATCCAAACGTATAAATACAGGTTGGAAATTTGCTTTCCATTGGCCTGTACAAGTATAAATAAAAAGTTATACGAAACGCATTAAAATATTCATCACAAAATATTGGTTTAAAAAAAGATAAAAATACATTGCATTTAAAATTAAGATTTAAGTGAAAGGCGCAAAACACACACAAACAAATAAATAAAACTTCAATGAGTAATCTTAAAATTTCAATATTAAGATTTTATTGGAATATGGGTTTAGTTAATTCTGCGTTCTCAATTTTCGCCAACACACCAAGCCGTTTCGCACCTCATAACAAAACCATTCTACGCCCTGATATAATTGTGTCGCAACATAACCAATCATCATCTATGGATAGACCTACAGGTAATAATTAATATCGGTTTTCCGGCCAGTCAGGCAAAAAGCTACTGAACTAAAAAAAAACATAAACCGAAAGGTCCACTGATTAATATCAGATAAGAAAGAATAATACATGCTCCAAGTATTGAAATGCATACGCCATCGTGCTGGGATACATTCGACCTGATGACATAATTAAAGTCAAAATATTGTAAATATATATATAATTATATATATATAAATATAAATAACATAATGACGTACATTTCAATACTTGGACCATGTCTTCTATTGTAAAGCTTTGGTGAAACACCAGTTTATTTCCCTCTCATGAAACCGACCATGAACACAGCCCCACGAACACGCCCCCGGATTGATCCAGTATGCCCTTATCCAATGGTGAGCTGTAATCACTTCGTATCAAAATGATACCGGGATTAGTCAAATAATAAAAACACATTTCTTGCACATCAACTAGTAGGCTTTTGAAAAGGGATGATGAAGCCCCTTATTTCTTTACAAATTATACAAATACAGTCGTAAACCAACAGGTAGGCCTTCTGACTAAGCTCACATTGTGAAAATAATTTGGTTTAGTTTATATAAATCAGACTGTTTGGCCTAGTTTAAACACAAAGTAGGGCGGTTCAGTTTTGGACGTACTATAGATAAAATAATTCAATATACAACAAAACATTGGTGAATGCTGTTAACGGTAGGTACATGCAAGGCAATTAAACAGAAGGACGCACATCTCGGAACATCAAAGGTTATAACTCTGGCATCGACATTCTAGGCGCATGTGCGTCCCTACACGCTGAACATCACAAAAACCATAGCAACCAGACCATAATCCGTCAGCGTATGTGACAATTTACTCACGCGCGTGTTAGTTGCCATGATAATCGCGCGTCGTGCGGTGATTACAAAGGCCTAATGATATTTTACACTACATTAGACTGAAATATATTCTTCATTTCAACATTAATTTTACCAAAATTGTGGTGAATTGTCATTCATGAGACTCACTTCGCAGAAAAAATTAATAAATGTTCTGTATATACTCAAATGTTCGTTTTCGGCACCTTATGCCAACATTGTCAAAATGAAGGATTAATGTTACATAAGAACATGAAATTTTATAAAATTCGTAAATTTTAAATTGTTATAACTTTTCAATTTCTTGGTCAATTTTCACAAATCAAATTGCAGTTTATAGAAGCATTTAACAAGCTCGCGGTCAAAAAAAAATCGGATGTAACAGATATTGCAAAGTACCCAAAATTAATAAAATAAAAACTAACACCTTAAAAGGAATGGCACGCATAGACTAATAATTGACGGCTGTACTCGCAACTAGTATCGGATTGTCGATGCCACAGTAAAGATCAAAGGAGTACGCACGCGCTATGTTTGAGAGCGGAGATGTGCGTCCTTCTGTTGAATTACCTTGGTACATGCAAAAAATAAAATACAATTTATTCCTAATCCTACATGAATGACCAAAAGCCTATAACTGCTTCCAATAATAGGCCTACGTAGTCAATAATACGTAGTTAAATATCAAAGTTCCGTCTGTACTTAATATTTATACTCCCATGTAAACTCAGGGGGGTTGTTAGTGACTATTAACAACTCCCTGGTAAACTGAAGAGAATAATTAACCAGATCATACGGTACTAGAAGTTCAATCAATCTATTTGAGAGATCAAGGTTTGCCTACTGTCCCCTTCGGCTGAGGCTGTTGGCACTGCCGCAGTGCGAAAAAAAGCTGCTGTTTTCTATCGGCACTGCCGCAATGCCAAAAAAGCTGTTAATTTCTATCTGCATTATTGCCGTAGTGCGAAAAAAGCTCTGATTTTCTATCGGCACTGCCGCAGTGCCAAAACACTGCAGTTTTCTATCGGCACTGCCACTCGAAAAGCTGCTGTTTAATTATCAAATGGATGATTTTATCTATAGATTATGGTATCAATAATTGGTTAGGTCTAGCCTAGCCTATATTGTTGTTAACATTATATTATATATGTTTTATAATTAATTATACTTATTTCTAATTATTAAATATATACATATATACATCTAGGCCCATACATAAAACAAAAAATAGAACAACAAACATTAAAAATAAAATAGTAGTAATAATAATAATAATATAATAATAATAATAACAGTGCTCGAATAATACTATAATAATGAATAATAATTGTTTGATTAATGAGATGAATCGGCATATATTAAATCAACTTGCGTCTATGCAAAACCTGTTTTTTTAAATATAGATGTTATCTATTTTATTCTGTTTTTTAAAAAAATCTTATAAATTATAAGTTTATTTTCTATGATAATTTTATCCACATAATTCATGATTTCAATGTTAGTATGGTTGATAAATAATATATACGGTAAAATAATAATAATAATAATAATAATAATAATAATAATAATAATAATAATTAAGGTGCTCGAATAATGCTTTAATAAAGAATTAATAGTACTTCAATAATACTTCAATAGGCCTATTTTCGATAGTGTGATTAATGAGATATTTGTTGATTAATTTATAGAAATATATAACAGGTATAGGCCTATACCATTAATAATTAAATAAACTTACGTCTACAGATGTAAAATCTGGGTTTTTTTTCTCAATCAAACGTTACCTATTTTATTCTGTTTAAAAAAATAATCTTATAAATTACCGTGCATTATAAAGTTTCATTGTAAATTATAGGAGAATTTAATCCACATAATTTATGTTTTCAATTATTTAAGCATTTAAACAATTCAGTGGGCCTAACGCTGGATGTAAATGGATAGTACTTCAATAATACTTCAATAGGCCTATTTTCGATAGTGTGATTAATGAGATATTTGTTGATTAATTTATAGAAATATATAATAGGTATAAGCCTATACCATTAATAATTAAATCAACTTGCGTCTATAGATGTAAAATCTGGGTTTTTTTTCAATGAAATGTTACCTATTTTATTCTGTTTAAAAAAATAATCTTATAAATTACCGTACATTATAAAGTTTCATTGTAAATTTTATGAGAATTTAATCCACATAATTTATGTTTTCAATTATTTAAGCATTTAAACAATTCAATGGGCCTAACTCTGGATGTAAATGTAAAACAAAACAAAAAACAAAGCATCGCCAAAGTGTTTTCATATATGCAAATGCTAATACTATTGCGCAATTACCGTGTATTGGTAAGCAGAGCTCAGGATGGTTCACACAAGGTGAAGAATATCCGTCGAAATGCTGTGTAAAAAAACTGCAATTATGTAAATAACTTTCACAAGAACTTCACAAATATCTTAATTAATATAATCTTATTTAATATCTGAAATTAGTTAATTACTAATTAATTAATAGATTGATATAAACACTGTGACCTTATAACTACAATTTATTTAATATATTTTAAATAATAAATACATGAATCCTGCAACGAATTTTTCAGGTCAGAAATTGGCATCAAAAAGTAGTAATTTTTCAATTGCGATCTTCGTATTTGTCGGTTCATGGAAATATTTATATGTATAATTATTATTATTATAGGATAAACCCAGAAAAAACATGTAATAAGCCTAATACAATTTATGTATTACGTAAACGTAACAGAGGAGGAAAATCTGATCAGAATAAAAGAAACTTTGCCTCAACCATGACCCAAACCCGTTGGACGCAAAGTTTCTTTTTTCTATATAAGATTTTCCTCTCATATTACCACTGTATTTACCTTTCTTTGATGATTTATATATA